GTTGAGTTTCAAGTAATCACTTTGCAGCAGCTCTAGGAGAATGATTGTTCCTCCTGATTAAAAGTGCCTATTCAAGAGAAAAAAAGTAGTAAAATGGAAAATATGCCTTAAGAGAATTGTATTCCTCAAGGCTGCCTGCTGCTTGCTTCCAGGCTTTTGTTAAAGGACAGAATGTGTTGAATTCTCCTAAATTGGCAGGGGATCAAGCACAACACTACATAATGAGGTAGCCGAGAACAGAGTTTTTCCTATAAACACAAAGAACAAGGGAATAAGTGCATGTAATTCTCATCCAATTAAACAGGAAACATGATAAAGAGAGCTACGTATAGTCATATTTATTCCAAGTTCACAGGTTTAACTGGAAAAAATGTAACCCAAGGTTCTAACGTATGCCTTATTTGTAATTGATGAGTAGGATCCATAAAAATAAGGTATTTTAAAACCTATGATTTTTATGGAAATGCTAAAAATAAAGGTCTAATAAATATAATTTGCCGACCAGAAAGAAAGTTGAACCTGCATCTGCTTGGGGTCCGAATTATCGGAAGTGGCCACGTATTAATACGGGTCACATGAATGGCCTGATCTGAAAGTACCCAGGCTGTGTGGGCTGCCTTCCTCCTCCGGCTTGTAACTTCTCTAACGCGCACCACAGTGACTGAAGAATTGACAACAGCTTTGTTGGGCCACGAGGACATCAATACCAAAAACTATAATCAGCCTACATTCCGGCTGAGCAGCAATTTTAAAGTATTAGTTTTTATCTCAAAAAAAAAAAGAAAAAGAAAAGAAAAAAAAGAAAAGAGAAGGCGACAGGTATTTCCCCCTAGGTAATTATGGAAGGCTGTTTATATTTGTCAGATATGTGATGAGGAAGGGGAGAAGTTTAAAGACCCAATCACTTAGAGAACGTCAGTGACAGAACAGAAAGTGAACAAACCTTCCCCAACCGTGAGCACTTAGACCAAAGAACACAGAGGCATAAGTGAGCTCCTCAGATGTCATGTAAACACAAGGACTGCCATGAGACAAAGCTGAGATATATTTAACATTAAAAATAGAATCCCTTCTGAAAAATACAAAAATTTTACAAGTTTTACCAGTTGGCTTGCCAAAAAAATAGCAGAAGTCTCTGTTTCCATACTACGGACTTTACCCCCAGCAGGCAGCGAAACCTCAACCTGATCCCATGTGCTTCTCCCGCATGGGCAAGTGGGCCATCCCTCACCTTGATACATTTCTATGATTTCTGAACCGGCTAGAAAGAGTACTTCAGGGGTTATTAGAAAGCTAGCAAAAGACTTTCTCCATCATTCTAAGACACAATTTCTTCTCCCTTACTGATTAGACGGGGTAAGAAAAACAGTAAAAATGACGCTTCAGGTCTTTAAAAGGAAAAAGTGCTTTTCTGTCAAACACAAACAGTACTTCTGTTCTTACGACCTTAATAAATCCTTAAATTTCCTCTAGCTAACTGACAAAGGGAACCAAAGATCTTTCAGCTTACATCTGTGTAACTTGTGAAGGACATGTGTGGGGGCTTAAGTTGTACCACAAATGATTATTTTATGACTAAAAATACTTGTGTGCCTAGAAAATTAAGTGGGAGTCTCAAAGGCTGAACAGTGAAATGATAATACAAAGATCCGGATTCTGCTTCTGGTTTCTACTCACATGTGGGGTGGGGAACGAGGCCCCATCTACTGCGCCTCAGAGACTGCTTTCTGTCCAAGGGCCGGGAGGGGGGCAGGCACTGCACCCATCACGGAGACGTGAGGATCAAAGCAGTATGTTCTGGAAAAGGCTAGGAGCCACACATAAAAAACAATAAATAAAGTCCAACAATAAATGTGATAAACGGCATTAGGTGTGCTGAGGATAGGGTGCCCCAAATCCTACAGAACATACGGACACCACAGAGGTCTGTGTCCATATGTCAGGCACTTGGCATTTTTTATTCTGTACTAGTTTCTCACTCTACGAGGCCAGCCCATCTGTGCATAAAGTTTCTCATTTAAAATCCAGCAAAATAAGTTGCTCATGGAGAGGACTTCTCCATCCTGTGACGAACATCGCTTTGATTACCAGGGGACTGTATGCAGTGGCCAACCACTTACTGACTACCTGCTATGAGCCAAGCACTGGGATTAGCAGATGGGCAAAGACAGGGTCGCTGCCTGCCCACAAGAAGTTTATGATCTAGAGGGAGGGCAGCATGAAAGCTCCCCAGAAATCTGAACAGAATTCTTGGTGGGTGCTCTAGAAACATCTGCTGATTAAGCCCAGGGCAGCTTTTCTGCACTAATCAGAGTCTCCTCTCTCCCTGGCTCCACAAAGGCTCACGGACATGAGGGGCAGCCACAGAACAAGGCAGTCTTACCTTCCCCCCGCCCCAAACCAGGTGCTTTTTAAGGGGGTTCCAGTGCCTTTTAAATCCATGCCAAGTGCCACCTCATTCTTTCCCCAGATAATCGATTGTCCTCATCTGACCACAAGAGGCCCCTCTGGAATCAAGCAGGCCAGCAAGAAGGTAATACTGCAGTATTTTTAGCACTCCTTGGAAATCTTTTTGGTTTGGTACAATGAAGTAGGAATGCACCAGATGGAACCCCAATGGACCAAGGCAGCTAAAGAATTTCTCTGAAAACCTAACTTACTACCATGAGGAATGAGGCGTCTGGGCAAACACAGCCCTATCGCTACCAGGTCAATGTAAGGATGTGCTTCCTGTAAATGGCACCGTCAAAGCATCGTTGAAGTGGCGACATAACCAGACACTTCAGTACAGAGAGTATACCATCCATCATCGTCCAAAGACTTGTTTTTGGTTGTCGCAGTTTGAGGAAGGCCTACTGTTAGCTATCAATTCCTCACAGCAATGAAAATAAAGAACTGATGAAATAAACAATGAATTTAAACATTTCTTAGGCCAAATCTTTATAGTCTACCGGCTACACTAGTGGCAGACACTGTTCTTAATCCCACTAAAGAAATGCAAACACCAAGTAAAACTTACTACCAACTACAACTCTGTGAATATTTACACCCAACATGAGTTTAACACAATAGTATAAACTGAAGGGCCACAGGCTCAAGAATTTATCTGAAGCACCAGGAAACAGTAATAATATATGTAGTCTCGAACTACAATTGAAAAAGTAAACATATATAAACACACTTACCAAGTCACATAACACACACACATTCTCTCCCTCTCTCACACTTTTCCCTCCGGCAGGATGCAAGCACCCTCACACACTCACAAAAAACACTTCATTTTAAATTAAACACTTACCTCTTCGAAAACTCTATATTTGGATGTATTATACAAACAAACAAACAAGCCTACTTTAGACTGTAGCCTAGGAGAGATCCTTTAAATATTCACTGACTAACCTGAGACAACTTTCCTTCTGTTGGTGGGATAATGAAAATACATTGCACGTCCCCCAAAGGTATTTGATTTAAAATTTTAAGATCTACCCTCAACTGCCAATTCCAACCTATGCCTGGTAAAAGTGCCTTATGAAAAAGAAGTATTAAAAATTTATCAAGAAAAGATGTTTCAAGCATAAGCAGAATGTTAAAACAAACCTGCATGAAATGAGTTAAAATTTATTTCACAAAACTGAAGTGTCATTTACAAAAAAAATTAATTTTGGAACATAATAAAATTAAATATATTCCTACACTTCGACATAATATTTTAATATATATACTATATATATGAAAATAACAGCTTGGCACTTAGCTTAATCCTGTTGGTTATAGCATCCCATATTAGGTGGCAAATTTATTTTAAAAAATATTACCTAATTTCTGCAGCTACCGTGTCAATGAACTGAATAAAAAACTAAAAAAGAATAACTGTTTTTATAAAATGAATTTACCAAGTCATGCAGGCACTGAAAATATTGCAATAGGGACCCATTCACTCCTAAACAATGAATTGTCTCCTTGGAGAGGCCTGGCGTAGACTGGGAAGAATTTTAAACTTCAGAAATGAAAGAGAGAGAGTTGCTGACTGTCATGGCTTTCATCGGACATCAGTCACTGCTTTAATGCACCTCAGCTGCAACTTCTGAAGGCCAAGGTTCTGTTCGGTACAGGGTATGACACCAAAGAAAATTCACTTTTTCAGCAATTTGTTTCCCCTAAAAAATGAATATCTAATTGGAAAAAGAAGTTTGCTTTCTTTGCGGTGGCCACATGGCTTGCTTTGATAAAAAGATATCCCAGGAATCACTGGGAAGGTCTGCAGACTACAGCTGACTGGTACACAATACACAGGAAAAAAGGTCAGCTTTGCTTTATATATGAATGTCTGGCAAATCTGGCCCAGTGCCTCTGATACAGAAGATAAACACCGCCTGCCTTCTTTTACCAGGAACTTCTGCCACACACAATGTTCTTTAGAACCCCCACAGGCAAGGCTTCTTCCAGCAGCTTTTATAGCATTGCACTGACTCCTAATAGGTGTAGGAATAAAAACTGCAGATGGGGGTTATCCTTTCTTCTGTTCATGGGTGGGGAAACGTAAGTGATGTTTCATATGCATGTTGTTAGTATCATAAAGCATTCCATCTAGGAAGTTTCCACAAGAAACTCCTATTCTCAAATTTATAACCAAAGGATACATTTATACATTTATTAATCATTAAGACAAAATACTGCTTCTTACAGCCATTTACCAAGAGGGGGGGGGAAAAAAAGCTGTAGAAAACAATTAGAAATGAAGAGCTCTGTATTAAATTGATTAGAAATCTGATATTGCATAAAATTCAAATTATGACATCATCAAGCACTGTGAAGTCCCTGATTGCACACTAAGGTGGCATAATTTGAATGGAAAACAAAGTATCTTACACGATAAGTGCTACTAATGACAGACTTTTACCCCCAACAGGAAGTGGGGTAGCATGGGGTGACATGGGAGTGTGGGAGAGGGGCGGAGGGTGGAGAAGAGATGAATTTGCTCTACTATGAACAGAATGAAATTAAGTTGAGGTAGTTTATTCTACCAGCCAAACTTTACTTATAACTTAATTTGTCTAAAACTCTTGCTAGAGAACGGCATTGAGAAAATTCTGCTACAAAGACTAGATACTTAATGCAGGTGCGCATTCTAAGACAAGTTTTCAATCCTTAACAGTAGTAAACAAGACTTTGTGTGCTTTCGGACAGAAGGATATTTTTGATCCCTATATAATATTTTGTCTGGACAGTTTTTGTAGCCATGGCAGACCTTTATGATTTGTCTGACGTAGGTCTTTCTTCTAGAAAATCTACTCCGCTTCATAACCTCGTGTTTATAAAGTGGTTCTGATTATTTGCAAGGAGGAATGGCACTGTATGAGAGCCTTCACAACCCCAGAAATCATGGCATGATGTATATGAATTAACACAGAAGTTAGCAACTTCCCTTCAATTCACATGAGGGCTGCAACCTGACTCATGGATTTATTGAACCTTTAGATGACTAAGATAGAATGTCATAAAAGAGAAATTTTATCTTAGTTTCAATTCATGATAATATAGTTTAAAAAAGATTCTCCGGACACAGTACTAGTAGCAAATGGACACTAACTGGCATACAGTCCAATCTAACATTTTAGGCACAAACCGTATTTGTCGGACAGGGTTGGGCATGATATTTCCTTCCAAGTGCAGCAGAAAAGCAATCTTGGTATGTCTGGATATGTGGATTTGCATATACGGATTTTTGTTTGTTGACCAAAGTCAGGTACTTGAACACAGCAGTCACTCAGACATGCGTTCCCTTCAAGGAAGATGCACCTTAGGATTTTAACTTCAATATTTTACATGATACCGATTCCCACTTCCCTTCCCCCTTTGACATGGACTAGCCTCCGTCTGTCTGCAGACACATCTCCCTGGAGGAACGGATTCCTCCCTTTCAACAGTTACGGGTTCTCCCAAACGAGAGCGGAAGCTCAGGCTTCTAAGCATTACAGTAAGACCACCAGAGTTACCATACAAAGCCGGGCACACAGCAAGTTTCGGCTGCCACCTCTGTTCCCCTCGCAGAAAGCCGTGTTATGGTGCGCTTGGTCAGGAGCTCTGCTTCTGCTCTGCCTCCTCCTCAAGGTGAATGAACACGGATACGGAATAAGCCCTGCTGGAGCTGAAGGCGGAAGAGCTTGCAGTTTGCAATGCGTAAGGCTGCACACCCCGTGCGGCGAAGGTCAGACGGAAGAAGCGGTTTCGTGTGGTGCCAGGTTCCTGTGCTTCTTTTAAACTCACGCACGTAGTCGTAATTGGTACCTAGACCGCGAGAAGCAGCACAGATGATACAACGTGCCTTGGAGTCACCAGGAAACAGATCCAGCAGAAGCACCACAACGTTCTTACCTGTATCAAGATCTCCGATAACATAAATACTGGCTCCTATGGGTACAGCTCCATAAACAAAAGAGGAACTGGCGGGGATGCATAAGTTCTGGTCGTTAAGATAGATCCACCTGAAAGGGAACACATGGGCAAAACCAAGGAAGTCAAGAGGTCGACGAGGTCTAGGGAGGCAGCACGACTCGGTGAGCCACCAGTGCCAGGCACGGCACCGGTTCAGCTCACCCCGCATCCCCATTGCCGGGTAACTGCTGAGTTCCCTCCTGTCACTACGGATACTAGTTTTGCCTGCTCTAGAATGTCACCTACATTGAAACGTAAAGAGCACGCACTTTTCAATCTGCTTCTTTTGCTCAGCACAGTGTTCCTGAGATTCATCTACACTGTTGCTTGCATCAATAGTTCGTTTCTTTTTAAGTGGTATTCCATTGTATGGAGAGACCAGAACTGGTTTATCCATTCACCTGCTCACGTTCATCCGGGTAACTGCCAGTGTGTGGCTATGGTGAATAAAGCCGTTGTGGACACTGGAGTGCAAATCTTCTTTGTGGATATTATGTCACAGAATTGACTGGCTATATGGTTTAAGATACATTCCACTCAGTAAGAAAATGCCACACTGTTTTCCAAAGTGTTGTGCCATTCTGCATTCCAATTAGCAACATCGGGGAATTCCAACGGCTAGGCATTACCACCTGCCCTCACTACTGTCGGTCTTTCTGAGTGTAGCCGTGTTAGTGGTGGGCACTTCCCTGAGAAGCAGCATGCTGGCTATCTCCGTGTGCGCTCACTGACCATTTTACCCATCTTCTTTTGTGAAACATCTGCTCAAAGAGTTGCTCATTTTTTAAACTGGGTTTTTTGTCTTCCTACTGAATTGTAAGATTCTTTGTATTCTGGGGATACAAGTCCTTTGTTAGATACATATATCATGAATATTTTCCCCAGCTTGTCGATTATCTTTTCATTTTCTTAATGGAGCCTTCTGAAGAACAGTTCTTAATTTTGACGAATTCCAGTTTTGTTTTGTTTTGTTTCGTTTTTTAAATAGTTCATGCTTTCTGTGTCCTTCTAGGAAATCCCTGCCTATTCCAAGGTTGCAAAGGTTTTCCTCCCTATGCTCTTTTCTGGAGATTTCACAGTTTCGGCTTTTACATTCAGGTCTTACAATATATTTTCAAGTTGAATTTTGGGTACAGTAGGAGGTAGAAGTTCATTTTTCTTCCATACAGATATCTAGTTGCTCCAGCATCATTTGCTGAAAAGATGTTTCTTTCCTCACTAAATTGCCTTGGCACTTCTGTTGAAAATCAATTTAATAACCACAAAAAGGATCCAGGGCTCCACAAAGAGGTGGCCAATTCCCCAGCTGAGAGAGAAAATATAAGACAAGTCTGGAGCATTTGCGCTGCCACACAGGAAGTGCTTAAAGAAGGGTGGGGTGTGTCCACAGGACATGGTTCTAATAGGAAGGTGTTCCCAATGGCCGAAGCTGGAACAAGTGAGCAGCAAAATAAATAATGATAGTATTGGATTTCTAACTCAGAGAATAAAATAAATATCCATGAGTCCATACTGATACAAATAAGTAACGGAATATGTTAAAAAAAAAAAAAAAAGTGGGGGAGAAGGGACAGGTCTTCTCTTTACAGAGTTCCAGTTAACAAATGTAGACAGAACGAGGGAAAGAGAAAGATCAGCATTAGGAGACCACCACAGTTCTAGTGACTGCAGGCGGGTCCACTGATGGAAGCATAATCAGTGGTGAAAGTTTGAGAAGAAATGGTGTATTTGCATATTCTCAATCATCTCTTCCAAGATATTTGTTAATTAAAAGGAAAGAACAGCAACTTTACAGTGGAAAAACCCAACAGACCCCACCTTAACCAGGTAATCAAGGTTAGCATCACCAATAATAAGACATGGAGACGGCACATCCTCCTGGAAGGGGAGGCATCATCTCCATGGTGTTCCTGCCAAAAATGCTTATTAACCTCAGCCTAATCATGAGAAATCATCAGACAAAGCCAAATGAAGAGATACCCTATAAAAACACGGACCAGTCATCTTCAGGAATATCACGGTCATGAAAGGCAGCGAAAGACCAAGGAACCATGACAGGTTAAAAAAGACTAAAGAAACACAACTCAGTGTGTGGCTGGATCCCGCATGGCATCCCAGAGCAAAGGGAAAGGAGAGATTATTGGACGAGCTGGTAAAATTCGAATAAAGACTGTAGTTTACTTAATAATACTGTACCAACAAAAATACCTTGGTTTTGATAGCTATATAATGGTTACGTAAGATGTTAACACGAAGAAAAGCTGGGTGAATGGCTTAATGGGGACTTTATTTTTACAACTTGAAGTGTAAAATTATTTCAAAATTGAAGTGGTTTTTGTTTAAAAAACAACCACCACAACAACTGTAGATTCTGCTATATAAGAACGTTTACTTAAGGTAATTGGACCAAACAATTTCCTGTCAGTAGCTAACGACGCAGCTGGGGTACAGCAGCCCTCAGTCAGACTTTGGGAATGGATCTAAACCCTTCAGAACTACCAACGTCCAGGTCTACACCCCTTAGTGGAACAGACAGCGTGTGGACGTCATTCCTTTGTCTCTAACTCTGTCATGAAGTGCCCAAGAAGCCAGCGGCTTAGATCTAGTGCATCCGGATGTTAAATACAAATGTGGAACTCTATGACTAAGAACAGCACTTTTATTTCAAAGAACTCTTCCCAGATTGTTGTAAAGCAGCAGCTTCCATATTTTGAATTCTAAGCAAAATGATCTGTCCAAGATCACATAACGACTCAGAGGCATGGCTAATGGACGGCTGCCATAGTCGAATACCTGCACTCAACATTTGATTCCTCTTCCACCTGAATGCTGACCAGTATCCAGCAGTTTGCTGCAACTGGGAATAGTTTGGCTCTTGGTGTCAAAATGTCTCTAAGAAATAGGGGAAGAAAACATTCAAGAGCTCTCACTGAAAAGTAAAAATAGGGACCTGAACAGGCCTTGAAAGAAAATCTTTGAAAACGTCCAACTACAATAACTGGCTTATTCACATTTTATGTCTTCAGGGCTAAACCTAAATATGTAAACCTTGACATTTAAATTCTTCCCAGGTTCTGAATCAAACGAAGCCGATGAGCGTCCCCAGGTCTCATTTGCTGCTGAACTCTACACCCAGGCCCAACCCCAGTGGAGAGGCACACAACTCTTCTGGGCAAATCCATAACGGGGCCATGTGTATGCTCAAGAGGGTAACTGCCACTTCTAAATGAGCATCTATGACTAGACTGTTTACTGAAAAGCCTATCAGAATACAACAATATTTTGGCATAATTTTGTAGAGTTGAGAATCTCATATTATTCCTCCCTGGAATAATTAAACAAAGCTCAAGAAATCGGGCTATGTAGATGATCTACCAAATTTGGTCCAAAGCAGATCAATGACTCAGAGTTCCTGGGTTTCAGAAAAATAATCCTAGGTGATCTATTTCATATAACGCTGAGGCTTCAAATGAAATGAAACATAAAAACTGAACTGCAGCATGTATTTAGCTGCTGCTTTTAAAACAGGTATAAAAGGCATATTGTTTTGCCTTCTTTCTCTGTCATCTATCACCTTGTTGACCTTGGACAATTTAGCTAACCGTCATCTGTAAAGTGGGGAGACCAAACACAACCACTAACATCCAATGACTTGCAGGGATGAAATGAAGTGGCCAGCGTAAAATACTTCACATAGCGCCCTGTACCTGGCGGGCATCACTAAGTAGCAATCCTGTTTGTAACAGAAGAAGCAATAGTATGCCTTTAGTTACAGTGTTTTCAAACACGGGCTTATCAGGACTTGAGGGTACAGGGATGTGTCTTCTGGTAACTTAGAATTAGCAATGTCCCTTGCAAAGGAGACTTTAGAATATAGCCTGGCTTGTAGCAGTGAGCTTCAGCAAGAGCAGAGTAGGAGGGAAAGACAGGCAAGGAGAGATGGGGGGGTGGGCAGCAATCAACTGGAGAGGAGAGGAAAGACAGAGGGAGCTTTAGTGAGGTTTCTGCTTCCAGGGGGGAGAAAGAAGTCCTTAACAAGCCAATCCTCCTGTGATAAACAGCTACAAACTCTGGACGAGATACAAAAGACAATTGCCCGAGGGCTCTGGAGATTGAGCAAAAGCAGACAGATTTGAGAAAGAAAGGGAAAGTTGAACAAGCAACCCACATGGAGGGAGTTTCTGGATCTTTGATAGCTTTGGCCGAAGGCAGCGTGACACCCCAGCTCCAGGTGGCTGAGACCCCTGGAGAAGACCTGCCGTCTTCGTGGCCACTGGAAACAGGGCAGAGTGTCTTGAGCCAACCAGAATCTCCAGGGTGTATGGAAGTCTCAGAAAGACGAGAGGTAGAGAATGAGGCCTAATTTTATGTGCATGCACTCGTCTCAAGTCTTCGACTGACCCCGGAACCATGAGTGCTCGTAACTGAGGCTGGCTTACAGAACCACAGGGAGGTTTGAGCTGCCATGCACTGCAGGCGTTGACAGACTGCCAGGAGTCGAACCAGGTACACGGCCTGCCAGAACTCTCAGTGCAACACTCTGAAGCACGGGAAGAGACTTCAGGGCCCTGACAACGTGACAGTCACGATGTTTGGGATGCAACCCAGAATTACTCAACAAAAGAAAAAGCCAGAAAAATGAGAACCCATTCTAAGGGGAACAAACCATGCAGAGATGCCAACTCCAAAACGACCGAATGCTGGGATTATCTATCAGGCGGGGACCTGAATGTGGCTACTGGAACTATGTTCAAAAGAGAACATGCTTATGATGAAAAGATGGAGATTTCAGTAAAGAAATGAAAAAATCTAAAATTCTACCTGAAGAAGCTGGGAAAAGAAGAGCAGAATAAACCCAAAGAAGGTAAAAAGAAGGAAATAATATAGACAAGAGCAGAAACCAATGAAACGCAAAACAGTGGAGAAAATGAACCAGCCTTGAAAAAAATAAATGCAGTGGTAGGCTTGGCCAGTAGAGGGCGCTGGAGGGACCGCAAGGCTGGATAGTGCAAAGGGCTTCCTTCCTGGGGTTGGTATGCCTTTCTCCCTCCTCCCACGGGCTGCGGCCTGCAGTGTGCAGGAGACCCAGAGGTGCCTGCCCTCAGCAAGGTCTGCCACCCAACAGGCCGCGTCCTGCATGCAGTGGCCACACCATACCTTGCAGGGTGGGGAGTTCTCTCCCCAGTTTTTTCCTCCTTAGGATACTTCCCTCAGCCCTAAAGGTAGTAGTAACCACGCTTCCTACAGTAGCTATTTCTGCACTCATCAGAGCTCTCTTTCACCAGTCAAATAACTATGTGAATTACATTTTCCCTGTTCAGATTACTGGTGTGGTTTCTCTTGACTGGACCGTGACTGAAACAGATTTGGTCAGGAGTACGGTTCAGCGCCCCATGTCTTACAAAGGCATCTGTAGTACCTGTTACCTCCTAACCAATGATCCAAACACACATAATGTCAATGGGGTGGACCAGTAGGATGTTTTCATGGAACACCAAGGTGATCAAGATCTCCCTGGAGTGACATATGGAGACAGCAGAACTGACACAGCGCTGGGGCCAGACAGTGCAGGGTCCTGTTGGCCCTGCCAGGCAAAAGCAAACTGCTTCTGGTGGTCCCTGCAAATTGGTACGAAGAAAAAGCATTAGCTGGGTTAATAGCCTCACACCAAGGCCAGAGTCCGTGTTGCATAAAGATACATTTGCAGAAGACTGTTGAATCTCAGATCTGTACCTCTGAAACAAATAATGCAATGTATGTTAAGAAAAAAAAAAAGAAGAAGAAGAAGGTAGCGGGAGGGGAAGAATGAAGCGGGGGAAATCGGAGGGGTAGACGAACCATGAGAGACTATGGACTCTGAAAAACAAACAGGGTTCTAGAGGGGAGGGGGGTGGGGGGATGGGTTAGCCTGGTGGTGGGTATTGAGGAGGGCACGTTCTGCATGGAGCACTGGGTGTTATGCACAAACAATGAATCATGGAACACTTCATCTAAAACTAATGATGTAATGTATGGGGATTAACATAAGAATAAAAAAAAAACAGTCAAAAAAAAAAAGATACATTTGCAGAAAGGCACCACATCTGGGACTAAATCTGTGATCATCAGGGTAACCACCGAATTACGTTTATGAAAGCATACAGTTATTTTCCAAAATCCATCTGACTTTTCTACTTTTTCTAAGTGAATTAAGTGGGGATATGAAAGGCAGCTCCACTCTTGCATTTTCAAGTTTTTGATGGTGGCACTAATTTCCGTAAATTCCTCTAGGATGTAGAACTGCTTCTGGTTTTCTGTCTTGGTAGGAAAGTTACAGAGACTTCCATGCAGCCTTTCCTACCATAATGGCCCCCACCCCGTGGATCAGAGAACAAACATGGAGATTCTGCCTGTTGTCAAGTGTGTCTGCTCAATTATAGATCAAAAGATGAAATTGACAGATCTTGACTTCAACAGTCAGGATGACTATTCTAAAGAAACAAAAGGGGGGCATCTGGGCTGAGCACGTGCATGGAGGCAGTCAGACACAGGATGGGTTAAGAAGGGAGCTAAAGTGCAGGACATGGGAAGGAAGAGACTAGAAAAGACTGAACATTTCTCTTAACCTCAGACAATGGAGAACCCCAGCAGGAGGCTACATACTATTATCTTTGTTTGGTAAGCAAAGGGAAAATACCAAGAATTTCCAGGAGGAGAATGGAATGACCAAAGTCGGGTTAATCTTTCAAAACCACAAACAGGCCAAATGCCCAGGAAAACTAGTTAGAAGGCTAATGCCATTGCACACACGAGAAAGTGAACATGGGAGGGCAGGAGCAGAGAAACGAAGGTGGGTGACGTGGGAAATATTCCAGAGTCTAAAAAAGACGACGAGACTTGGCAACTGATGAGACGTGAAGCATGAGAGAGAATCAAAGATGAGCTTTTTTGAGTACGGATAACTGGGAGGATGGTGGTATTAGAAGAGCAGGGACACCAGAACAGAAACAGAGCTGCCTGTCATTCTGTATGTATTATCAAGTTGTCACTATGACGTGATAGAACTTGTGGCAATTTCTTTGCTTTCCTTCAAACAGTTTTGTTTTTCATTAGAAACACAGAAAATAAGATATGGCATTTTTCCAGGAAAGTTTTAACCTAAAAATAGGGAACAAAGACAGGAAAGACAAGAGATTACTTAAAAACAATAAATGGTCTCCAATCTAATACAGATTGCTCATCTGGCAACAGTTTCCACAATACGCAAATATAACATACTTGGAAACATCTGCTCTCCTGAGAAATAAACTTCGGCTATATGTTATTTTCCTCCTATAGATATTTACAGGAAAGCCTATATTTTTAACGCAACATAGTGTGGTGGCTGAAAAGGTGGCCTCTGGGGCCAGAGTGCCTGAGTTCAAATTCCAGCTCTGCCACTTGCTACCTGTGTGTCTCTGAGCACATTACTTCACCTCTCTGTGTTTTGGTTTAATAGAGGAATAAAAAGAGCACATGGACTCAGAGGGTTGTTTTGAAGACTGAGTTACAAATGAGTTAACAGTGTTATGTATGTGTCTAGTGTCACCCAAGCAAGAATCCTATACGTTATACTGACAAAAGAAATGACCCTTTCCTCATTCTATTATTTAAAAACTAACACTGGTGGGCCCCTGGCTGGCTCAGTTGGTAGAACATGAGACTCTTGATCTCAGGTTTGTGAGTTCAAGCCCCACGTTGGGCCCAGAGCTTACTTTATTTTTTTAAAGATTTTATTTATTTATTTGAAAGAGAGAGAATGAGAGACAGAGAGCATGAGAGGGAGGAGGGTCAGAGGGAGAAGCAGACTCCCT